TAGCTTAGAGGTGATGAGCTGCTGCTGGTGAGAAGAACTGGACTAGAAGGAGAAACCAGCAGAACTATCTGATGGATTATAGCTGCTCCATGTCTCAAACATTTCATTTTGCAAAACCAGCTGAATGTGAACCAGAGCAGAGGAAGGATTATTAATCAAACAGGAACTTTAGATAAATATGCTGTTTGCCATTGATCATAATTCATTGAGATATTTCCATAGATAACATCTTTTCATAATAATTCCTGCAGCTTTAAAAAGGATTCAGCATGAGATCAAGTTTTAATCATATTTGATTTTATAACAGCTTTACAGATCCATCACCCCCCCATTCACTGCAGGCAACTTGTAGTTCCTCAGTTGCTCCAGGAAGCCGGGGTTGGGGGAGGAGGCTGGCCGTGCAGATTTCACCAACGACAGAGCGTCTTCAAAGGACTGTCCATCACATGACATCAGGTAGCCGATGACCACCGCCGGCGCACGGGACACGCCAGCATTGCAGTGGACCAAGACCACACCTTTCTGAAACAGAATGACAGCAGATGTCTCACCTTAGACCAAACACTGAGCAAACAGCCAGAGCAGCGAAACGGAAACTATCTCCATGTGATGAAAAGGACAATAATAACAGCAGAATTTAGATTAAGTTATGAGTTTTTACATTTGCATCTGGAGAAACAAACTTTTCTCTTTCTCTTTTTAATTAAATTCAGTTTGAAAAAGAGGCTGATTAGTCAGTGACTTCATAACGAGACACGGAGAGAAGCACCAGCGGACAGCGAGACAGGTGCCCGACAGGAAGCACAAGGAGGCGAGGGAACGGGCCCCACTCAGCATGGTCTGGGTAGGTGGGGAGCTGACCTCTTTCCCACTGACAGTAGCAGGTTAACGTGTTAACGCTAACTGATGTTGATGATGTCACCAGTGCAACAGAAGGTGAACAACGGAGAGCAACATGGAAGGAAGCCAGGGCGACGTCAGTGTGCTTTATTGTTTCTCTCTATGATCGGTCTGAATCCGTCTCTCCAGAGCTGCTCCATGTTTCTGGTGTTCATCAGACGCGACCGCCGCGGCGTGTTGACGTCCATTAAGGTCCGTCGTATCACATAATTCAGCAGTCTTTCCTAAGCATGCCGATCAGGGCAGAGGAGATTCTAACACGGGTCGCCTGCCGGTTGGTTTGACCAGGGTAGCGATGCGTCAGTGAGCTGTTCCCTCTGCCTCTAAAAGCCCATAGTTCCGGGTTTAAACGGTTTTTCCTCACAGTGGGAAACAGGTTTTTGTAAAACCTAACCTGGAAATAACTGCGGCTTATTGTCAGAGCAGAACGATTCCATTCGAGTTAGACTTAAAGGTAAGGAGCTGATTAGTTCAACCGGCTCATTAGCTTTTACTCCTGGACCTTTTGGTAAAGATGAAAGTTGCCAGAGTTTAAACACAGATTATAGTCAGCAAATGATTTGCTTTCACTGCTGGTTTATAATAATTTGAAAACCTCTTTATTTCTTTTAATTCTGAAAAAAAAGAAAGAAAAAGAAAAGGTTTGGTTTTGCTTCCTTGAAATGTGAAATCTCCCTCTCTGCAAAGACAAGGTATCCGTTCATGGAGTCTGGTCTGCAGAGACCCTGTCTGGTCTGCAGAGACCCCGTCTGGTCTGCAGAGACCCACACTGGGTTGCAGAGACCCCATCTTGTCCACAGAGACCCCGTCTGGTCCACAGAGACCCCGTCTGGTCTGCAGAGACACTGTCTGGTCTGCAGAGACCCTGTCTGGGTTGCAGAGACCCCATCTGGTCCACAGAGACCCCGTCTGGTCCACAGAGACCCCGTCTGGTCTGCAGAGACACTGTCTGGTCTGCAGAGACCCTGTCTGGGTTGCAGAGACCCCATCTGGTCCACAGAGACC